TGAAATTTTGTTCTATTCCACATTGAATGGAAGATTTATTGCCTATTGTTGTTGTCGATCTTTATAGGGCCTAAATTTCTAATATTCCTGAACTAGACTTAAGTTTTTTTTTATTATTATTGAGGGACTATTTATATGTTGTTATATTTGGTTGTATAGACTTTTGGTTATTGTTATTATTTTGGGAGATGTTCTCTATTTTATGCTCCTCAGAGTATTGAATTATTTCCTTTTGTAAGTGGTGTGTTTTATCTTGCTCAGGAATAGGTGTTGGATCCTCCTTGACCTTCATACCTTGTCGTTTAGGAGCCCTCTTTCTTGTTTTTCAATAGGGAAATCCACCGATCAATGCCTATCCCCTTCCAAATGTCGTCAACCCCACACATTTTCATTTCCTTGTCATTCCACAACCACCTTCCCGCAAAACGCAATTCATAAAAACCTTCTCGAAGCCATAGAATAGTATCAAAAAGAGTAAGATTATCAATTGTTTAAGAAGAAAAGGTAGATGCAGCACAAATATATTCCCCTATAGTATCGACGGGATATGTTCACAAAACTTCATAAATTGCGTTAGAGAGATTCTTTTGCGGAAAAATAAACCATTGAATTTGATTAATTCATGTTGAAATGTGAATTGATGGAACCCAAGAAGTACACCGTGATAAGGTAACTAGGATGCCCAAAGTCAACTATCAATATTGTGATGTAGCTACAGCCAAATTGATCCCTACTTAATGTACAAACCTTAGCCTTAAAAATGGAGAAGCAACATTGTCACTAGTTGACCCCCACACTCTACAGACAACTCAATTCTAGGATTAGATAGCAAGAGTACACTCATTGGAGCACACAAGTTGGCCTCTCCAAAGGAGAAATTAGTCCAAATTGGAAAAAAGGTGGAGAACACCAAAACTGCCAAATTTATCCTAACAAAGAAGTTCTTCGAATGCCACCATTTTGGGTACATTGCATCCAATTGCCTGAATAGGAAAATGATCTCATTCATTGAGTAGGGAACAATGAAAAATATAGATAGTGATATAAGAGATATATGAGAAGGCGCTAATGCAAATGAAGAGTATCTACTTCCAACTGACGAAGAAGAGATGTTAGTAATTCAATAGATCCATCGCACTGGGGCTATGAGAGAGCAACAGTGGCTCTATCACAATATATTTTGCACCTATTACACCGTGAAAGAAAAAGCATGCAATCTCATTATCAATAAAGGGAGTTGTGAAAATGCAGTATAAACACAAATGGGGGATAGGTTGAGTCTCACTACCCAGAAGCATTCTCAATCATATTCCTTAAATTAGTTGAAGATAAATAAGATCGATATTGATAAGAGATACTCGATAAATTTGTAATTGGATACAAGTTTCAGGATTAAGTTTGATGTGATATTATGCCCATGGAAGTATGATCGGAGTTTACTTCATGAAAATCATAAAAAACTTACACATTTATCGAAGATAGGAAGTATATTTTATTTCTGTCATTGACGGAGTCAATAGTGATGAATACTTAACATTAACAAGACCTTTAGTGTCCTATCATCAAGGAGGTGCCAGTGGGACCGGCCTTAGTGATGTTAGAAGCTAGTGAAATGAAAGAACTGATACCAGACACAAGACAGTCTTTGCTAAGATGATGCCAAGCTTTTAGACCTATAGTCTATCTCCTAAGTTGCCACTATTAGAGGAAGTCAAACATGTAATCATTTTAGAAATTTTTTAGTTATTTCTAAAAGATTCTATAACATAATCCAGGTATTAAGTTCTCATTCAGTTCAACAATGCACCCACAGATAGATAATCATACAATAGTGTTGAACTACAATTTTGAAAATCTCCATAGATATTTTGTGGGAAAGTACATCAAACAATAGGATTCGAGTGTTTCCAAAGAAGAGAAAGAAGCCTCTAATAACCCGAGAGAATGATGTGGGAGCGTCTGAATCACAAGACACCGCAATCCCGATACATTCCCAAGCAAGTATTGCGGGTAGCGAGCTCACAATGGCCAATTCAGTAGGGATTCTTGAATCAAATGTGTCAACAAAGAAGTGTGTTGAGTCACATTCAAAATTGGAAAAAGAAATCATCTCTTGTGATGAGCAGAGAAAGATGATTGTGAAGAAATATGATGAGTACAAATCACATGTATAAGTAAAATTATGTGCAACATGAAAATTTTGATGTGTTAACTTTTATATGATGCTAATATTCTTTTAGGCTTATTGAAGTTCTTTCCAAAAGATGGTGCTGCCTTACAAAGTAAATGAGAATTTAGATATGTACATGTGGGATCATATTACTTTAGTTAGTAGTTGATGATGAGTAGTAGTTGCTTGTTCTTTTTTGACAACCTTATGATGTTGTTATCAGTTTTTATTTTTTAGTTTCCTCCGGATTCATGCATTTAGTTTGAAAATGTGTTGTTGAATTGCCCAGATAGCCTTCACGAAAATTTAGTGCATTTCTACTAGAAGTCACAAGTTTTTGCTATTATACACAGTTTTTTCCTGCTTCTATAGGTCATTGGAAGTCAAATGCGCGAGCACGCTTAGCCAAAGAGTGTTTCTTAATTTTTTTTAATCAAAATGTTAAGCAATGCTCTCAACTTTTGTAAAAGAAACTATCATTGAATCAAAACTGCAGCTTCCTCTCTACCTATATTGCCTTCTACTCTGCATCACTTTAGGTTTATGTTAGTATAGATGTAAAGATTGCAGAGAGAGCGTCAACAAATTTTTTGTTTATATTTTTTATTCACTGTTGAGGAGGTCTTTTATTCACTGTTGAGAAAGAGCAAATGAATGAAGAGATGTATTGTGAGAGCGTCAATTTGCAACTTCAAATAGGTCACAATATATAAGAAATTTTGTTAGATAATTAAATTAAAAGTTTTTTCCTAGTTAAAATAACCAGTATTTTTAAAATATCTAATGTGTATTTTTGTGAGCAACTCTACTTATCGTGGTTCTTAAAGTAGTTTTTAAAATTGAAAACTAATATGCAGTCGAGTCCTCTTAAATTAGAAGTTTATTGTAGTGTAAAAGATGGTGAAATTCATTTACAGTTAGATTATTTACCTATTTTCTACAACGAGCCATACTACCTTTCTATATTATTTATTACAATATTGCTTTTGTTGTTTGATTATTTTGAAGTTGGTAATCTTACCAGTAAATTCAATGGTGTAATAGGCACTTAATTTTTCATTCAACCAAACAAAGAAAATAATTTTCATGCATTTGCTTTACATGCAACCAAACAGCAAAAAAAATTTAGAATACAATGAACTTATTTTCCTCTTCATTCTAAAAAATTCATGTATTAAAATACTTGCAAACAAACAGCCCCTATGATATTGCTTTTCGTTTTTTTATTATTTTGAACGAGGTAATCTTACCACAAAATTTAATGGTGTAATAGACTCTAAATTTTATGCTCAACCAAACAAAGAAAATCATTCTCATGCATTTGTTTTACATGCAACCAAACAACAACAACAAAAAAAGGATACAATGAATTTATTTTAATTTACATTTTCAAATCTCATGTGTTTAAAATACTTGCTGCAAAACAGCCCCTATAGGATTATTTGAATTATAATTTAAGAGAAAACCAACGCTATGATATTGCTTCATAATGGCATCCCACTTGACATTATCTCTAGAAAGTTACAAATTTGATTTTGGAGCTTCCCCACTATAAACACTATCATTTCATTAAATTACAGCCAGATACCTGCCCATTTTAAAAAAGACGATTGGAAAGAACTCAATCATAAAAGTTTGAGAATTTGTAAACTCCACCTTAAGTTTGCCCCAAAAATGAAAATGGATAGCATTTTTAATATTTATATGAACATGCCTAAAATTTCTTTCGTTTGCAAATAATGATAGCCAAAATAAAAACAAATGCCTAAGCTACACCCAAACTCAAAGTAAAATACCGAAGTTCTTATAAGCAAATGCATTTGCAACCAACTAGAAAATGCACGAAACCCAACGTAGATAGAATATCTCGATTGCAACAATCTAAGACAAATGCTTGAAAAGGTTGCACCCAAAAAATAATTGGGTTGCATTCAACCCAATAATTAAACTTAGGTTGAGTGCACCATAATCGTACTAGCTTGTATTGAAAGACTCAAGTTGGTCAACCTAATAAGAAAACTAAGATAAAATTGGGTCCCAACTAAGAGATTGCATAAGTGGGATCCCATTGAGATCCATCTCAATGGATAACCGCCAGGAAGCTCGATGGTAACTCTAAATTGTTTAAACTTACTGGTTAAATCTTAGCATCTACGGAGGTGATCACATGAAAAAGGAAAATCAAGAAAAGATAAATATTTTTTTTACATCATAATACTACGTATTTAGTGTCAATTCTTAAGAAAATAATTAAAACAAGGTGAACTTATCAACCAAATTTAGAAATTCGGCAATTCCATAAAAAGGTAAACTATAAATAGTTTTGACTAATTTCCCTAGAAAATCACAATATAAGAGTTATTTAGTTCGCTAAAATCTCTTATACAATGTTATATCATTAGTATATAAGTATTTTGTTTTAGGGCGCATTTCAATAACAATTTCTTAAAATGGCATTGACATCAAATTCTGAAAACATTCAAAAATTAGCCAAATATACATACAACTAGATGTTAGACTATCTGATATCTAAAATAAATGACCAAAAAAGAATATTATAATCTTTTTAGAGCAATCCATGGATAATTGCATTACTCGAGTAAAATTATTTTGAATAAAATGAATTGCATTTGATGAATAAGAATCTTAACAAAATAGCATTAAGCGAAATAACCCTTCAACATGCTTATCAACCTAATATACACGAACTTAATTAGCAAACAGCAAGTGTTGCAATCTCACAGTAAATAAAGTTCACAATTCATCAAAAATGAAAAGAGTGCTTTGTTCCACTACTGATTGAATGAGCCAGTAGAGCCATAAGAGTTACCTTCCCAAGATAATGGAGGAAGCGCTCCGCTAAAAGCGATACAACAACGATAATGGTGCAAACGAGGGCCACAACCCAAGTCGCCGTGTACTCGAGCGTCTCTGAATCCTCAATGGAAGCCATTTCTTTCCAACCTCGGAGTTCTCCAACTCAGAGCCCATTAAAAGCAAAGCAGAAAGGTACGATGTCAGGATCTACTCCGACTCAAGAAACGAATATGTAATTGCGATTTGGCACTGGAAGAAGATTGGCGCGGCGAGAAAGAAATGGATATTGGAGGAGAAAACAGACGGCATTCCATGGGCGTCAGTCCCTTTCCTGGTATGGTGGAAAGTTGATTTTCCTTTCTCATCCATTGACAGGGAGGAAGCCGATGCTTAGGCTGTGGGAGAAGGGTTTCCCGCAGAAGTTGAATGCGTGTGGAGGTTGGTTTGGGTATTGGCCTTACTCCTTAATGACCTATCTTCAATAGATTGAAGAGAATATTTTTATTTTGCGCTTTTTACATAGATAGCATTCCGAATATTACCAATTTTCAAAAAAAAATAATTTTAATAATTTATATTAAATACAGGAGACTAGTTCAAAAAAATTTAGAAGGGAGCAAGTTATCTAATGTTCGGCTGCTTGCTCTTCTTAGAGTATGTTTGGGGCAGATTTTTAGTTGGGATGTAGCGCCTGAACGCAAAAAAAGGTGTTTTGAAAGGATGGTGTTGCAGTTTTTTAGGATAATCATATGTAAACATGGACCGTGAGTTCAACCCCGTAGCCCATATTTTATTCACAAAAAATATCTTTCGTGCCCTCATATTTTGTTCGTGTTCCCCTTTTGTTGTTATCATGTTTATCTATTATATCTTTGCCCTAGCTCCTTTCTCATCTTCACCCTAACTCCGACCGGCGGTTTTGGTGGCATCTCTCTTCTCTTTCCTTCCTCCCATCGCTTCGGTCTCCGGTTCCAGTGGCACTTTCCTATATCCCCTTACGGTATTATCTACCCTATACTGTTGACGTTAATATTCTCGATTCTGATATTGAGGTTTGTCTTATCTGGCTTGCTCTTTGCAATTTATGTGTTTGCTCTATCTGTGTTTTATGGCATTTATTACATTGCTCGTGTATGCCCTTTGCTCTATGGTCTATGTTGGAAGGATTCTATGTTAACCCTTGTTTCCGTTCATTTTTTTTTCCTTTTTATTTTAAAAGGAGTCGTCAGTCTGTCGATCGTCGTATACTTTCTCCATTCGAATAAATCTCCCTCTCGAATCATATTAATGATTCAAAGATGAGAGGAACTGAATAAGAAGGGACATACGAAAAATAGACAAACAAGAGAAAAAGTAAAACGTGAGAGTCAAAGTTCGATAAACCTCGTAAGGATATGTCAAGAATGTCCTCCCAAAAAGATCGGTCGGAGGCACCTTAAACCAATATCCACGAAAGAAGTATCTACATAGACTACCCATAACCAGAGAGTCAGGTGTATGTACCTGTTATGGGGTCAAGAGCACTCTAGAGGAACGTGTTCCTACTGGTTGATTACATCTTGGGGGATACCCAAGAATACTCTCGATAAAAGGAGTTTCGCTTCATATTATCATAAACCTAGGGTATAAACAATCAAATGAAGGTGATTGTGTGTGGGAACAGTCTCAATGCTTCAAAGCTAAAGCTAAGTCATCGGCAAAGAGAGAGTCTCTCACATCCGGAATGGGTAGCGGCTCATCGGCACACGGGGCCCATGAAATAACCTAAATCATCATGATGGGGATATCCCAACATGTCAAAGCATGTCCAGGTCATAATGGCAGAGGACAAATCGTCGTATCCCAAATGGACGACGGTTCATCAGTATCAGGTCATCAAGGTGATATCAACGAAGTTAAGGAGCGATAGGACTCAAAGGGGCTCAACAAAAAGGAAGGTATATTGATCTTAAAAGGTAGAGGTAACTGGGTAGGGGTACCACAAACTCGTCATCCATAGTTACTAGGATCCTAAGTCTACCTGGTCGTGAAGGTAGTCGACCTAACACGTCTTGAGAACCCCGGTTAGCAATCTGCGAATTGCCTCATCCACGAGAACCTCGGTAGTCCTAAGGTCAAAGTAAAGAAATTCTATCCTGTAATTATAAGTTGAAGCTCTAAGAGGTGGAACTTATTCCTACCGAAATGGTGAGAATGCCTCGGGAAAGAAAAGAATGGGAGGTTTAGCTACAAAGCTGGAAACACTCCAAACAACAGGGCTTACACCCCGTCTGGATCGAGGAGCCTTCTAACACCCCACGCACACTAAACAACCACATATATGAAAGTATGTTGGACCAGTCAGGTTGGAGAAGTACAGTGACTCCTCCTCGGGACATGCAAATATGAATGCAGTTATCTAGAGCGGCCATAAGTATTGTGGAGGCCTTATTAATATATGTGGGAAAGTAAATGTTGCAATTTTTAAATCCTGAATATTTTAATCCTAAATTTTAATTATCTTGAATATTTTATTTAAGATTTTTGTAGAAAATTAAAAATTTAAGTCCTAAAATGAGCCTATGTTATATCGTGAAATCCTAGATAAAACACAGAAAGAAAACAGAAAGAAACAAAGAAAACACATGCAAGTGCAAACATGCAATATGATGCAAAAAGCAAAACAAGTCAAATCAAAATAATAAACAGGTCGGTGCTGATAGGTCGGCAGCATATCTTAGAAAATAAAAAGGCGGTCGGACTTCGCATATACATGCCCGATCCTAATTCTATAAATCAATATAAAATGGAGAATTAAGCTACGGGGTGCGAGCATCTGCTCCTGGTCCCCTCCACGTGGTTCTCGTGCCTAATGCATCAGAAATTGTGCCCTCTCATTTCTACTACAGGACTCCTAGTCTCTAAAAATACATAGAAAAAAGAAAAGACTCAATCCTACATGAAAATAAGTGTCAGCGGGAAAGCTCACATGCAAATAACGTATCATGAGTCATGCCTTAAAGGTTGGGGAGCTAATAGCACCTGCAAGCAAAAAGGTCAGAAATCATTACTTGCTCCCCCAATAGCGGTACTTGTGTGTGTGCATATAAATAAGCATGGCTCCCTGTAGAAGGATGCTCTAACGCACTACCAAACATATGCAACATGCAGTCACACCACAAGCTAATGCAAAAAAAAAAGTCTGACTAGGACAACCAAACCAGCAGAGAACAATAACCAGACATAAAAAAAAACTACCTAGTCATAAATCCTAGCCTAGCACACCATCTAACAAAAAATGCGTCAACCTAGTATCTAATTGCGGGGTAAGTCTGGGTATAGTATGACTTTGACGGGGTCGTCATACCGGCCCCATCCTAAAGATTTGAAGGATCTAAAGGGCGTCACGAAGAGGGGTGACACGAGTTAGATTTATTAGATGTTTAGCACAGTCATACTCGCGTCAATCTTGATGACTTAACTCGCATTGCTCATTGGGATCAACCCCGCAAGAAATGCTCGTTAAGGTATCGCGACCAACTAGACCAACGCGGGGTCACTCTCCTAACGAACCTGACTCGCTATCGATGCAAACATACAAATGCAAATGCAAGAAAATCAAAACATATAAGTAGTGATAAATAGTATGTCGTGAAGGCAGTGACTCGTAGGAATGAGCATGTCGTAGCGGCTGGGGCTTTAAAAGAGGGTATGTCGGTAAGTCTGTGACCCGAAGTGGGCATGTCGTGGTGACAGCGGCTCAAAAAGAAGGCATGTCAATAAGGCAGTGATCCGAAGGTGTGCATGTTGTGACGGCATGAGCCCAAAAAGAGGGTATACCAATAAGGCAGTGACCCGGCGGTAGGGGGTAGGCGTGTCGTGGCGGCAGGAGCCTGAAAAGAGGGTATACCGGTAAGACAGTCACTAGGAGGTAAGCATGACGTAGCGGCAATGACCCGAAAAAAGGGTATACCGGTAAGATAGTGACCTAAAATAATGCAACTAAAGTAGATGATATCGATCATGCATACAAACATGTACATGCACATACACAACATGCAAAGGAGCAAGTGGTCGGTCCATCAAGATGGAGCATCTGGTCAAGCCAAAGTGTTGTGCCAACCGACCGTGGTAGCCGGCTCAAACACAAGTGATATGACCGGTTAGGGATAGCCAACCGAGGCACAAGTGGTACAAGCGCAAGTGCAAGTGCAAGATACAACAAGTGCAACGTGTAAATGCAAGGTGCAAGGTGCAAGTGCAAACGCAAGGTGCAGAGTGTACGTGCAAGTGCGATATATGACATACAATATATAACATGCAAGACATGCACATTCAAATAATGAGGTGCATATGACCACAGATGATAACGAGTCATGCTCGTGCTAACGACCTCACCTGGAAAACTTAAGGTTTAGACCCTTTTAGACCCTTGGATATGCAGCACGCACTGCCGCCTCTTGTTTTGGTGAGAAAATGTGGGGAGTTTCTCCTCGGATCTCCGAGGGGGAAACTCTCTACGGCATCACGAAGTGGACTAGCTACAAAACTTTTCATATTTTGTGAACTCCTAAAGACTTTGCGAAGAGATACTGCTACAAAACTTCTCTTGCTTTACCAAGTCTGACCTCCCAACTTCTCCAAGTAAAGCTGGGGAACCCAAAGCAAGGGGAGTGAGCAAGGGGAGTGAGAAGGGGAGTGAGGGACTCTGACCCATCAGGACTTATGCTAAGGCTCACAACAAGGGGAGACACTCGGCTCTATGAGAGGTGTTTGGTTACATAGGAAGTCCTAACATAAAGGCTAGCTCTAGGAAAAGCAACAATCCATCACGCAGGCACGTCGTCACGCCGACCCATTTCGGCGCATGCTCCCCGTGTGGGTTATCAAACTAACACGCCTGAACACCACTAAACCTAGGGCTAGCTAGGAGTTTAGGGGATCTCATTACCACGAAGGTTGCATGCTCGTTCTCTTTGCTTGCTCCAGGCCATCAACGTCTGGTCCATGCACCGATGTGCCTCGCAAGGAGCCATGCAACGAGGAGAATAGGAGATAGGGAGGGCAAGAGAGACAAGAATCGGTGAGATATGCAAAGTACCCAAAATAAATAATTTTGGCATAGAAAAATATGACCCAAAACATACCTTCACGACAAGAGGTTGGACGATTCTCTATATGACGTGACTGTCGCCACTCCAAGCCACGAAGACTGAACACCGACCCGAAGGAATGCTTCAACAAGGAAGATGACTGACGGTCTCCAGCCACCGGCAAGGGCAGTAGCTTGTTGTTGGGAAGCACGCCTAGGAGGCGTCGACAGTGAGGGAAAAGCTCCGGTGCAGGTTGGATGTGGCACAGGAGGAAGGTTTATGTGTTGGATATCGTGCACAAAAGGAAAGTATCATAATAATTTGTGTATTTAAAGCTCGCCCGTGAAGTCGTGGTGAAATGGGTGTCCTTCCCAAGTAAAATTGATGTTTCGGACAC